CCCCCCCCCCTCCGAAAATACTGTGAAAGTAATTATCATGATTTGGTAACTGCACTTTTGTCACAGCAGATGAGCCCCAAACTGCAATGAACCCATTATTATCTCCTGCAATAAGCATTGTTTTAAAAAAAATAGTGAGATATCTTCTTAATGTTTACTGCAGCTTTCTAAAGCAGAATAAACAAATAGCTTCAATAATCATCAGATTTCCTGTCCTAAGTTAGCTAAAAGTAAGTTTCATTTTTAAAAAACATAAGGAGGGGGATGTTAATAATAATTAACGTATTTCAACTAAGCTAATAATCAAAACCAAGTTTCATTTTCATTTACTTAAATTCCACCATTTTTGGTGTAATACATTTCCAAGTAAATTTATTCTGGCTTCAGTTATTAGGTTTATACTGAAGGCAATGGCAAAATTCTGATTTAATTAGAAGTGGATTATATCCTTAAAACTGCAGTATTTCAACCTCAATTGATTTATTATATATAATGTTGATCCATAGAATATTTTAATATGTGAATCAAGCAAGGTATAAATATTATTTAATGTTTAATGTTATTTTTACAAAACTGTAGTTCTTAATTGTTTGCAATAAATAATTATGCAATATTTATTAAATTTCATTTCTGAAATTGTATTTTAGTGCCGGATACATTATTCATATCCTTTAAATTATTAGGAATGTTCTAAAGTTAAATATGTTTTATACATTCCCCAGTTACAGCCAAAAACTATTAGGCAGAGCTAAAAAAAAAAAGTAACAAGCATCTGTAAATCCAGATATGAATGAATAGTATTTAATAAGATTGTTTTTCATTTAAAAATGAGTATTTATGCATTGCTGGAGAAAGAGCAGCAGTGTGTGCATTGCTGTTTATGAATGCCATTGTGCCTGAGGTTAGGATCCCCCACACAATCTGAGTTGCAGCCAAGAAAAACAGCCCAGATAGACAATGCTTCACTTCACCTGCTACAATGCTGTGCATTTCATTTATGTCAAGGCTGCATGTACAGTTAGGGTTCATTCACCTCATTATTTTGTTACATCCGCTTTACAGTTAACCAATGTATCTGGGGCAAGGGGATGAATAAGCATTTTCAAAAAGATATGCAGAAGATCCACTTTCAATGTCTATCTCAAAATTACGCATGTGCACAAATAGATGCAACAGCACATTCATATACCATTAGAGGAAGAATATTTCACTGTAAAACCGCATTTTAAAAGCAACAACTCCCCTCTGCTATCTTGGTTTTCTGTTGCTAAGTAAACCAGCAAACAGGAAGAAAATGGAACAACTAGTCTTTATCTCATGGATTGGCTTCCTTTATCAACAATCCAGTCATAGAAATTCAAGACCTAATTTCTCTTTGCTGAAGGTACCAAAATGTACCAAGCTGGTTAGACTTTTCAATTCTGCTTCTGGAATAGAATATCTCTAGAAGACCCTGCACTGTCTTCTCAGGCATACCATCACACCTGCAACTTTTTGCAATACTTATCAGAAGACCAGACAAACAAAATTAATCTGTGTTGGTATCAACCATTATGCTGGAAATAAGTTTCACAATGTTTGCTCAAACACTTCAGCTTCAATACTCCAAATCAGCATTTTAAGTATATATTTCACAGAAATAACACTTTAAGATCAATATTCCACTCTCTGCTTCTTTTCTATCAATGCCACCTTTGCATAAAGCCAACTTTTCACCATATGAACCCAAAGAAAATGAAATAATGAGTGTAACTGTAATGTTCACAAGAGTTCAATTTGAGCCAATTTCTGATGTACAAAATATGTTAACATCTCTTCCAAATGGATATCCACATTCTCTGGAAGTAATAGCTGGCCAATAAGAGAATAAAATATTTTATGCCTGTCTAAATGTTTGAGTTGCCTTGGTTATAATTCAAAACATTTATCATTTGAACATAAGGTCTTCCTCATCCAAAATATTGGAAAAACTATTATCATATATATATTTAAATATTTACAGTAGTGTGACATATACACATTCATAAAATTATCAAACCTAAAATAAATCTGAAGTATATGTCAGTCAACCAAGATGAGTATGATGACTTATTTTCCCCAATATGAAAACTTATCTCATTTACATACAATTGATTTTTTTTAAAAAAATTGTGTTCTATATGAACATTTGTATGTGAATATGCATACAGTTACTCATAATTCTCAGTCAGGTATAAATCTCTTCCCCATCTTTTAAATGGCACTGAGGATTAAAAAGCAAGTCATATTATGTCAAACATTTAAAATGGGTAGCCCTGATATATAATTATGAAGCAAGAACAAAACCTAAAGATAAATAAATAAAATAAAACTTTATTTTTAAAAAATAAAATTACCTTTCAGTTAAAGGAAACTGAAATGCCATTTCTTTAACAGTACAATATTTTTTTAATCCAAAAGAGTACATTGTGTTTTATTGTGTAATTTGTCTGAATACAGACTCAGTGGAATATCTAAATGATACCCTGCTCTGAACTCCAACTTGAAAGTAAGTTTTTATTATACTTGAGGGAAACAATGGGTTCAGCTGCTTATTGCAAAGAGCAATTGTCAAGGGAGAGTTAAACTCAATTACTGTAACCATACTGAATAAAAAATACTGCCAAGAACAAAAATACGCCTGGGTAAAGACAGCCACTGAATAAAAAAAATCGACATAAAGCGTATCAAATATTTATTTATCTGGGCAACAAAGGACTATGATACATTGACAGGCATGGAAACTACTGCCAGCACAACTCAATACAATACAACTGTAACTGCTTCCAATATGGCCGGTGGAAATAGAGGATACCAGGTGGTCCCCAATGTATGGAAGTTCTTTGAACCAAAAGGCAACTCAAAATGAAAAAGGGGAGAGGGAAGTGAAGATCCCCAATTCTTTATCTGAATAGACAATATCAATTTATTGCTCTGATTATGCTTTCAGTAGAAAGACCCTGGATATAAACTTTTTTTTTTAAAGCCACAACATACAAAGTGTTGTTAAAAATTCCTAAGATGTGGGAAACAACTTTTTTGGGAAGGGGAACCTACGTTATTTCAGTGGAAATGGTGGTAGTGGTGATTGGTCTGGGTTGGATGGTTGGTTTCTCTTCCTTTATCAATGTGAAACTAAATATCATATTAATAATATATTTGTAAAAATCCGAGTTACTTCAATCGCTTAGCTGCTTTATTGTCGCCTTTTTATAACATGCTACAACAGGGCTGAAGTGATGAATCCCAGAAAATACCACCCCACCCTCCCCCTAAAAAACTCCCCTCCCATTTTCTAAATAAGTAACTATGAACCACAGTGATGGAACTAAGATGGAAAAGACTTAAAAACCCACTAAACAAGAGGTAAACGAGATCACCAGATAAATAATAAAAAAGCTTCAAACAGACTCACCATATTTACAATTCCCATTAAATTACACATAAATAAATATATACATACATGAACACTGATTCCCTTATAGAAGCACTATGAATCGGTGTCACCATAAGAAAGTTCAAATTAGTCGCTTTACCTTGGCAGAAGAGAGGTTCTAAAACTGAAGACATGACATGGAACTGCATGTGGTTTGTGTTCAAGTTTATTCACAATACTGATAAAATGTCATCATCATCATGATCATCATCATCATCCTTTCTTTCCTGTTTTGTTTTGTTTTGTTTTGTTTAAATATGGCTACAATCTTAAACGGAAGTTTGTATAAGGGAAGGTGGTGATCCAGTCCAATGAAGCTCATTTGTTTTTTGTTTTTTCCACATTTAATTAATTATTAACCTTTAAATTTAGTTCTTTCTCTTTTTTTAGAAAAAAAGTTCTGCTTTATTTTTATCACTGTTTATTTATTTTTGTTAAAAATAATAAAAGTTCACACAGACGACAAAAAGAATTTTTTTTCCTTTTCCTCCTAGGATGGCTTGATCGCCTCCTTTGTTTTCTCAGGCTCCAGACTGGGTAGCAACTGGAAATGAACTGGGAAGTGGTGGAGGGAGAGAGGGAGGGAAGAAGAAAGAGGACTGAGGACAGGGTGGGGGTATGTGAATTTCCCGGTCCTTCTGTGTGAATAGGCTGGGACAGATTTCTGAGCTTCTCTGGCCGTAGCCTCAGGGTGAGGAGGAAGGGGAGGGAGGGCCAGGCTGGCTGGTTGGGTCGGGGCTGCAAGAAGAAAATCCTCATTTTCTGTGCTTCTCTTCTTTGTCGCCGCTTTTGGTGCTGTTATCTGTGTGACTATTAGGATTGTTGCTGAGGTACATTTTGTCCATGGCCTTGAGCGCCTCGGTGAGATAGTTCTGCAGGGCAGTGACTGCGGCGCACACAGCAGGGCTGCCAAAGCCGTGAGAGATGAGGTTGAAGTGGGTCAGGCAGCTCTGGATGCCCGGCTCCAGAATGGGGGTGGGCCGAGAGTTCCCCAGTGGAGATCGATCCTGAGCCAGCAGGTCGGTGAACTCCTTACAGATCTGTCTGCAGCATAAATGGAGCAGAGAGAAAGGGAGGGAGGAAAATAAGCCAGTCTTGTCAGCAAGCGGGCAAGCAAGAAGTCAGTGCCTCCAGAGCAAAGTCATGCATACACAGAATCTCTCCTTTTAGACTCTCTCTCTCTCTCTCTCTCTCTCTCTCTCTCTCTCTGTGCGCCTATGATGCCCTGTATAGAAATATCTACATCAGTGACAGCCTTTCTCTTTCTCTCATCTCCCTGGCTTATCCCCTGCACTGATTCATACACACTTCTTCCAGGAGCAATATTTTCCCTTTTGCTTTCCAACACATAGATGCATTTTTACACAGGATCCCCCTCTTATCTTATGGCATCTAGAATCTTTTTCTTCTCCCCACATTTATCTCTCTTTGCGTGCACATTACACACCTATAGGGTGCTACTAATCCCTTAAGTTATGTGTCAGAAAATGAGGACTGTGTCTTTATTTCATCCCAAGGATAACATTTATTGTTACTGACTGTGTGGAAAATATAATGCTAAGCTACTACTGTATCAATAATTATCGTAACAACAGCTTGCATCATTTTCCTAAAAACTTCAGATGTATTATCCATCCCAAAATGCTCTCACATTTATTTACTAATGCTGATTTCAAATATATAAGGGTTCTCTGTCACACTCAATACATCTCTTTGTTTTAATTTAACTCTTTCCTCTCATATACATTCACATCATTATCTTCATAATCACATCAAAAATGTCAGAAAGTTCTACATAAATCACACAAGCATGCATGTTTCTCCTTGATACAAAATACATCTCCCCCTTCCTTCCTCTGTCCTTCAGAGTAATACCCATTGTTTCCCCCATCAAACTTTTTTTTAAAAATTCTGTAATTAACATCCACGTCTATTCTTCTGGTTTAAGTCAACAGTTATTTTTTACACCTAGAATCATCATAAGTTTATAGTTTTCTTTGAAAGTAAGTTGCATTGACCTCAGTAACACATCTACTACTTTTTCCTTTTCTTTTTTTCATTTAGGATCCTCTACGTGTGTTTATGAAAACTTCCATTATTCTTAGCCAGCAAATTGGCAACATTTTATTTTCAATAAAGTGTGAGAGTTAATTTTATGGACAAAAGGAAGCTCAAGTATAGGAGGTGAGCAGTTCTTTCAGCTACTTCCTTAGCTTATCAGTCCCAGAACTCTCATTTCATAGAAGATTTGGTGGCATTAAAAAGATGCAGGAGTGTTTGTGTAGGACACCACAGCATTGGAAAAGAAAGGATCCACTCAGAAATTAGATTCATATCAGTAAGTAAACTGTCTGTGGAGGGGAAAAGCCAGGAGCATATATATGACAGCAGTTGAGTTTCTAAAAACCAGTATTAAGACATATTTCAGCTGTATACGTCTTCCAATAACTGGGTGCCCTCTGGCCCACTGTTCTTTGGTGAATCACCATCTGTAATTAACAACTATGAGGGGTAAAGTATTTTAATTTCCAGCAAACACATCATTTACAATAATTGAGAGTTCCCTCTCCTCTTCCCCCACCACCTAACCTGAATATTGAATATCTTTTCTATTAAGTTATCCCTAGAGTCCTTCTCTTAAAATAAACCCCACTGGCATTTTAGTTGCTTAGAAGTGAAATACTTTTAATACCTGATTCACAGTTAATCAATCTTGAGCATTTTTATTCAGGATGTAAGTTCCATTGAGATCAATTTACTTACTCCCACGTAACTATGCAATCTTGTCTACAATTTTCAAAATAAATCCCACTATACTTAACGGGGCTTACTCTTTGATAAATCTGCAGAGGCTTGCCATTATAATGTGCCATGTTCTTTCTTTTTGAATGCATAAACTGAAACGCACGCCTCTAGGAGCACCATTCCAGGGAGGGGGAAAGGATCATTCTCATTCCTCTGCTTGATTTCGGCAGTAGCATCACTGGCAATAATGTTTCCCCTCGACGAGGAATGTATACTATGTAGTTACCACGTCAGGGCAATCATGCAGGTACAGAGAATGACATATCCCTCCAACAAACGCAAATGCACCAGAGGAAACACACAACCAAACATAACAAACAAAATCCTTCCTTAGGGATATTCCACAGAGGTAAAAGTCTTACTTCGTCGCTAGTAGCATGTTTTTTCTTGTGACTTGCTCGTTTGGATCGGAATGTTGTCGGTTGAGAAATTCAGCTACTGCTTTGGCAGGAAATTCTGTTTCACAGACGTAACCAAAATCTCTCGCGAGATGCACAGCTTCTCCTGAAATGCAGTTGGGTGGAAATACATACTTAATCAATACCCAGAGCTCAAGCGGGGGACAGGAACACAGGGAACTTGCTCCATCTCCATCTATGGGATTTGTTATTAGACTTTCCTGGGTGCATCTTTGGATTCTTCACGTGGTATTCAACCAATTAAGATTAACTGGCAGATTTACAATCTAGTAGTGAGACGCTGCTTTAGCAAAGACTAATATCTCAGTGTGCAAATGAAATTTCCTGAAGGTAATAAGTTGCTACGGGGGGCGGGGGGGGGAGTGTCAAATGCATTGTTTTAAATCAAACTATGCACATGTTAATTCTGATCCTAAAATATGCTTTCGGGCGGTGGGATACTGATTAGGCAACTCAAAGTCATAGATGTAATCAGCCTTCAGTCCTAAATTATATTGCAATATATTTAAGACGTTTTGTTTAATACACTAACAAAAGTGTTCCAAGTATTTTATCTCTGCTTTGTAAAGTTTAATTATGTTTCTATTTGTGCTTTCAGTTTATATTACATTATGGGAATAAATTATGTATATACACAGAAAAGAGAAACATACCAAACATATAATTATTCTGTTCCTAGAGATTAATACTGATCATTGATCACTATTTCAACCCCCCCCCATAGACTGCATTAAATAGTTAAGTTAAAATTAAAATTTAACTTGATCGCATATAATTATCCTTCCTTCCCTTCCTCTCCCCCCTTTTTCAAACGATTAACCATAAGAATTTTAGGGTCATTCCACTGAGACTGTCTGTTTTGTTGATTTTCAAATCTTTGGTTTTAATTTCCTGAACCAGTTGGTTTTCACCGCAGGGCTTCCTGCCATTAGCTCTAGGTCCGGAAGAACGCATGCGCCAATTAGAGCTTCAAAGCCTCAGTCCACGGCGCTTGTTTCCATAAAATGGAGCGGATCATAAACAATAACAGGACTTTGGAAACGGCCTCATCGCGTAAGAACCACAACCAAACAATCATCTATTATCTCTTGAGAGGGAAAAAATCAGCCACTATTATTAGTTATCTATTCATTAGCCTTATTCCTATGTTTCTCTCCATTGTAATATGATAATCAAACCCTGGCCATTTTTTAAAAATCACTCTTTTGAAATTATAGATTTTATTAAACGTTTAGACTATTCCCTAACATCACAATAGTATTAGCATTTATCACTTTTCCCCCTTCCCCCTTTTTCCTCCCCTATCCTTTTTTTCTTCAGCTACTTGTAAACTTTCTTTTGCTTTCCTTGATTACCCATTAGTTGCTCGTGGCATGTAAATACACTAGTTATTAATGACAAGACTCTTGATGGTCTCTCAGTGGCGGCTGGCGTTTTTATAATGCTGTAGCTTCACTTCTTTGAACTTAAAAAAAAAGGAAAGCAAGCAAAAAAAAGAGCAAAAGAGGGCTATTAGCTGATAGTAAGCAAAACTAAAGCTAACCTGGCATGAAGAATGACTTAAAATTCACTCTACATAACCAAAATCAAGGTTAAAGACCTCAAAATTAAAACCTAGTGAAGACTGCATGCGTAGGACACTCTGTGTCAACTTCCTTGGGTCAATAGCTGCTACAAAGTAATTCTCAATTTAGCATGCCCCTTGCATTTCTTTTTCCTCATTATAAACTTTATAACTATTTTAACATAAAGGAAGATACGTGACCTCCCTTTTGTCTTCTTAATGTTCAAACAGTACATTCACCCATCCTCTTTTCACAGTTAAAATAGAAGAAAAATAAAGCATTCCTATATTCCTTAATGATAACAATCAAAGAGTTGTTCAGAAGCTTGCTGCAAGGCTTAGGACACTATTAAATCATGATTTAGGTCAAGGATTCCCAAACTAATTCAAGAAGTTAAGATTCTGTATTTCTCAGATGCAGATGTCAGAATGATTTAAATATAAATAAGCTGCTGGTATGTAGCTTAAAGTAGCAGAGTTGTATCTTTGGGTAGCAGCAGGATCTAACTTTTTAATGCTTACTAATACTGCAAAGAATGAGATCCTGAGCACTGGAAAATGATCTTAAGTGTTGTTGGGTCCAATAAATGATCTTCCAGCCTACCTGCTACAGCACATTAATGCAGCATGCTTTTTATGTACCAAATAAAAATAAACAAAAAAGCATTCCTGATCTCATTTCTAAACAAGATTTCTTTTCCTCCCTGTTTGTCTAAAATTACTCATATAGTTAGTTCGGTTGTTTCTGAAGCAACTAGCGAAGATGGTATCTCCTTAGTGGTTGGTAATGCTGCCAATAGTTCTGGGTCTGTTGCCCCATTATCAAGCATAAGAACCAAGGACAGATATAGTGCTTTTTATAAGTTCTTTTCTCTGAACACTGTTTATATGTTTGCTTGGTAGGCCAATATATATATATATATGCATACACATACTCTGTTCAACTCTGAAGACACTAGAAAATAAAGATAGAGCTGAATGGGATAAAAATAAAATCAAAGGTACACAATGTTTATTTGGGATTCACTATAGCCAACTATTAATGAAACAATTAACATTTTCACCTCATGACAGTGTTTTTAAAGCATTTACTGATATAGCAGTTAACAGGGACTTGCTCTCAGAGTTCCTCCTTACATTCTTAATGATTCTCTAGATTTGGTGTTATACTGTCTACAACTAAGGAGTGATTTTGAGTTTGTTAAGCTATATTCACTTCAGCAGGAATAACAGAACAAAACTATGGACTTCAAAGGGAAGGCTCTAGAATTTGCAGTGAGTAACATTGTTCATATTTAACCTGATTTTCAATCTAAATTAATTTCATAGGACTTATCATTGGAACTTCTGTAAAGTGCAGAATATAACTGAAGTATTTGCATTTAATGTATTTGTAAATATTAAATCCATTCATTCCTTAAACATATTTACAATAATATACATTCAGGGAGCAACCATCTTATTGAGGTAAATGGACTGATAATCTTCAGCATAACTACTTTTTCTAATTCTACTAGTTTGTAAATTGTAGCCCAATTACATTTCTTAGTATGATAATTAATCTATTAAATATTGAAATGCTGTTAAGAGCAGCAGTTTCTTTTGAATAAGTAGCTCAGTCAAGTCATACATTGTATGGAAAATCATCATAACCCAAATCCCTGTTAGAGATATATACAATAATTGTACACATCACTATTTTGCCTCTTTCACTTGGGACTACACTGATTAAAATCCAATTAAAATCCAGCATGTCAATCAGTGATTAATAAATTAACCCATTAATTATGTTTACTCTGTTAATGTTTTCAGTCCTACTTTTTTAATGCAAGTGATCGATCAACCAGCAACCCAGTTAAAGTGAAGCATTACAGTATATGCCAACTTAGTTACATTCATGTCATTGAGATTTAGCCAAATCAAATATGATTTCAATATGAAATGCATTGCAAGGGTTTAAATCCAAACAAATATCAATAAAGCCAGTTCCAATGTTTTGACATCAATGGATTTTGGCTGGGGGGGGGCAAGTTTGATTCCCCTTTTTAAAAAAGTACAAGAGGAAAGGGTCAAAATGACCAATAATAATTTAAATTAAATAACATGCATAAACATTCCAGGCTCCACAAGGTTTGTTTTCCTCCGCTAACAAAAAAGAAACAACATTTTCCAAATAATGCCTTTCCTACTGCCAAAAAGCCATCACTTACCCTCCACTAGTGATGTCAGCAGGGTAACATTAGCAGCTTTACGTCTCCCGGCTGGCAAATTTAATCCTATTTTGTCCAGTTTTTCTCTCAAAGATCTCCCTCCATTTTTTGATTTTGCCCTGTTCCACACATTAAAAAAAGAACAGCACTTAACACACAAGTACCTTCAGGTTCATACTCCAACTCTTTCAGATACTTTGCTACAAATCTATTTTATAAATGCTTATTAAAAATATATGTAGTAAGTTTAATTTTGAAAATATTAAATTTGGGCCATGTAAGTACAGTTATACACAACTGTACAATATTCACTGAAATATATAATTTACTAAAATAACTATACAATTAAAACAGATAGTTAAATCTTTTATATTATAATATCAGCAGCAAATCATATGTGGACACCAATTATACTCAGGATGTTATAAAATATGCTTATATATTTTGATCAAACATACAGCCACTGAGAGGGTTTTTTTTATACATTTGTGAACCAATAGGGATGTGTTTTGGCCAGATTTCCTTGCATTATGTAAGATTTACAGTCATCATTTGTCTTTCATTATAGATACCACATTCAATCTGGTATACAGATTAAACGGGAAAAATAATTCCTATCTTGCACAAGAGTATGGGGATTTTTTAAAAAATGACTTTCTCATAACTGTATTCCTAGTCAAACTCCCCTCTTGCTCTGGCTTTCCTCAGGAAAGTAATGCTGGCAGTGCCCTCAGCTGGTGCGTATGAGCTTTCAACAAACTATGCTAGGATGAGTGACCTTGCTACACTAAAGGGTCCTTCCTATGATTGCTGATGTTGACTATAGGAGTTGGTTCCATTAACAGGACACACTGCCTGCTTCGAACAGAATGCAGCCTAATTTCCACAGATATGTGATTCTGTGCTGTATGGTGGTCCAGGCTGCAGATAATAATGACAGCAATGAAAACTGTAATTAATGCTAATTAATTCTAATTCTAATTGTCACTGCATTTTCAGTAAATACTTTTGTAATTCATACTTTGTAAACTTTTTAATCACAATCCTTTGAAATGGCTTGTTAATACTGTCATTTTATTTCAGGTGCAGATTTAATATTGAAATATAGGTAGCTTCTTTCATATTGTCTATTCTAAAACAAGACCTGAAACTCAAATGCAAGATTTAGAGACTTGAAGGGAATGGTAAAACCAGTTTATTAAAGATCCTAGAGTCATTTTTAAAGGGAAATGTTGAAGGGTTATGGCTCTGATCTCAAAACATGGAGTTGATATATTCCCATTAATTCCACCAAATTTTTAAACAAGAGGAAATGGTCACTGAAGAAATTAAGGTGAGGAAACTTTTATGAGGAAATACTTAACAGAAGAGTACTATCAGCAGTCCTTTCTTTTCAAAATCTGTTATTAACCCTTATTGTGAAAAATAAACATGAAGAATAAGCCATGAAAAGCACAATGAAGTGCAAAACAAAACAAATGGGTTTTTTTTCTTTTAAAAAATGTGGAGCAGAAGTTAAAATCAGCAAGGTCTGAAGGAGACCAGAATATTGCAACAGACAATAGACGAAAGAGCATTTGGATATTGGGAAGAAAGGCTTGTTCCTCCTCCTAATAACAACAGCTGCCTTCTGTAGATAGGAAAAGCAGCTCTGGAGAAAGAGGGTGAGGATTGCACTGGGGCAAAGCGTGGGGTAGTACCTCCTCTGTAAGAAATTAAACAATAGACGGGAGGAGGAGAGGTGGGACCTGGAGCCTTTTGGGAAAGAGATGATTGGCTGAGGCTGAACACCGCAACCACGTGCATACCCTCTCTGCCAATGGCCTCCCTTCCCGCCAAATTGCCTCGCACCGAATCCAGGGCAGAAAGATGGGGGCGTCCCTCCCCAGTTCTCTCTCGCACGTCTGAAAGCCCCGATTGGTCGGGCCGCCTCACCTCCGAAGCACTCCGCCCAGCAGAGACGCGTTGAGGCACTCCGGCGGGGACAGGCGCCTCTGCACTTCTGCCACGGTGACTTTGTATTTGGAGGTGGAGCTGAGTAGAGACAGGCGGCCGGGCACCGAACAGAAGACCTCGTTGGGATTCACCACGCCGCCGAAGAGCGCGTCCTTGTTGATGGGAATGGAGGAGACGGCGTTGGCGTTAGACTTGGAGAGGGACACGGGGCCTGCAGAGGGGGGAAGAAGGAAGAAGGGAGGCCGAGGGAAGGCAGAGCCGCGTTAGTGCACAAATGCTGAAGGGATTAGCAGCTGCTGGCAGCCTAAGGCGATGGTGGGGCGGCAGGCTTGGGAAACGTGGGGGGAGGCGTGGGCGATGACAGGAGTGGGGGAAGGGGATGAAAACAAGCCAGGAAAGGTGGCTGAGAGATGATGGCAGATGGGCAACAACGAGAATAACGGCGCGGGGGGGGGGGGCTGTCTTTTTGAATAAGTGCCAAGGGGGAAGCCCAAGGCTGGCGGCCCCTTCCTTTTCTCTTTGGCCGTCTTTTTGTTTTAAAGGGCAAAAACA